CATTCTAGGTTTAATTCAGTACGTTATGCCAAATTTCGTGCAAATCGAATGATATATAGGGACTTTGGGGCATCATTTACATGTAATCGTAAGAAACTATATATGGGAGCTATATCTAAATTTGGACCGATTTTTTGCAAACTTGGCAGACATCACTCTAGGCTTAATTCAGTACGTTATACCAAATTTCGTGCAAATCAAAAGATATATCGGGACTTTGGGGCACAATTTACATGAAATCGGACGAATCTATATATGGGAGCTATATCTAAATCTGGACCGATTTTCACGAAACTTGGCAGACATCATTCTAGACCTAAATGATTAGGCTGTACCAAATTTCGTGCCAATCGAAAGATATTTAGTGGCCGTTTACATTAAATCGGTTAAATATATATATGGGAGCTATATCTAAATCTGAACCGATTTTTCTCAATTTCAATAGGGTTCGTCCTTGGGCCGAATAAGTAACCTATGCCAAATTTCATCCAATTCGGATCATAAATGCGACCTTTACTTTGTTTACAATTTAACATGGACAGACAGACGGACAGACGGACGGACGGACGGACGGACTGACGAACATGCATAAATCGACTTAGAAAGTGATTCTATGCATATTCTCAAAAGGAACCATGTGTCTATCTCGATTATTTTTGCCTGTTACAAACATATGCACAAATACATAATACCATGTACCACAGTGTGGTGAAGGCTATAAAAATAAGGAAGATCTTCACCGATTGGCTTTATCCTAGTTCATACGAGAGCTATACACTCCCAGAGAAACGTTGCAAAATTTGGAACCGATTGGATTATTAGTTTTTGATTTATCGTGCCCGCCATTAGCAAAAAAATGTATAGAGAAAAACGCGTTTAAAGTTTGAGAAGCCCTTCAGCCGTCACTGGATGCTGACACAATAAATCGGATATATCTTCAACAGTTCTTGAGATTTTCACTTGAAATTTTGTAGAGACATTCTTAAATCAATGTAGATTCGAATTATATCAACAAAAATTTTGACCCCGAGGATGAGGGGGGTCCCCTTAAAACACTTTCAAAATGAGCGACTCCTGTACTAATCTGATACCAGTTTTTGTATATTTGGAAGAAAGAAACCACTACTGAGATAATACAATTAACTATTTCTGTAGCTGTAAAGGTAGCCTGAGGTTATGTTTACCTAATACATTTCCCTAAATTTCCACGAAGCCCCACTGTATATCATTTGAATTGATTAAGGGGCCATAGTGTTCGTTTTCAAAATAATTAAAATTGTTGCATTGCTGTATTGCTGGTGTTCTTGTTTTGTATCTGTGATAGGCAATGATTTTTTATCCATTTCATTAGCAAATAACAACAACATTGAATACGAAGTAATGTGTTGGTTGTGTAGAACGCCTAAGCCTTACGAAGATCTGTAATTTAACAATACTGAATCTAGGTTCAATATGATACAGTTATTATGAAGAGCAAAGGGTTTTCGGCAAATCAGTGCTCTTTATGGAGGAAAGATTCGACATACCTTTGAATGTAAAACTCTTAATAAAGCCTTCACTGTGGTCTTGGTCGATGACAACTTTCAGGTATAAAAATAATATCAGGTTTCATCACAAGATATGAAACTTAGCTATAGTTCGGAAATATGATGCTGCATTGGTTGGATAATAAAACTTTTGGCCCATACTTCAATATGGTCCATCGAGAATCATGACTGTCAGTTTTACACTATTATTGGAATAAAATGAATACAGTCATCGCAAAATTTCAAAATCCGTATGAGGGTTTCTATTGAAGTGGAAATTATCCACAATAACGCGAATAGTTTCAATCAATGATCAATCTTGGTCCACTTTTTAGGTTAGCCCGCATAGAGACAAGTTTTTCAACATATGCAATCTGTCTACGGTTTTTGGCACGTTTTTAAGCAAATTGGCTCTAATCTGATTTTTCAGGTTATTAAGGGGTGTCAAATCTTCCTACTAAAAATTATCAATATTGGTTCACTTTTTAGAGAATCCCCCATATAACGCTACCTCCAATATTTCTGTATTTCGGGGAGCTTGGACATGTGCTTTAACCAAATAGGCTGCAATTTAAAATTTTGGATTCTCATTCAGTAGAAAACTTTCCGTCCAAAAATTATTAAAATTGGCCGAAGTTTCCGTTTATCCCCCATATACGTTATATCCCCCCAATATTCGGTATTTTGAAGTATTTGGGCATATAAATAGCTGTAATTTTATATTGGAATATCGATAAGTAGAAAATTTTCCTACTAAAAATCAATTTTGGCCCAAGTTTCAAGTTGCATTATGGTAGTTCATTTTGTCATGAGGTGTCCAATATTTCTACTAAAAAATTATAAATATTTGTATAGATCCCATATAATGCTGCCACCGATGTAGATGACATTTCGTATACAGGGTTCAGTCTGGGACAATGGAGGGTAAAACACATTTTTGCCGAAAGTTGTCTAGAATCATTTTCTGAATCGATTAATGCATCTCCGTCTGTCCGTCCGTACAGTATTTTTGTGAACAAAGTACAGGTCGCATTTATGATCCGATTTGGATGAAATTTGGTACATGTCACTTATTTGGCCCAAGGACAAACCCTATTGAAATTGGAGAAATTCGGTTCAGATCAAGATATAGCACCCATATATAGTTTCGTCCGATTTTAGGTAGCCAAACTCCCAATACTAGTCCGATCGAAACAGAATTTGGTTTAAATCGGTTCGGATTTAGATACACCTCCCATATATAGTTTCGTCCGATTTTAGGTAAATGGTGCACCAAACTCCCAATATTTGTCCGATTGAGACAAAATTTTGCATAGAGTGCTGAATTGGTCTAGATTGATACATGCCAATTTTTGATGAGTTCGGTTCAGATTCATATATAGCTCCCACATATAGTTTCGTCCGATTTTAGGTAAATGGAGCACCATACTGCCCCCATTTGTCCGATTGAGACAACATTTTGCATAGAATATTGAATTAGGTCTTAATTGATATATGCTAAATTTTCTTATCGAAGTTGCTTTAATATTGGCATATATAGCTTCGGACAATTTAGGTAAACGGTGCACAAACTCCCAATATTGGTGCTATTTGAAGTAAAATTTTGCATATGTATTATGTCTTTGATGTATGCGATGCTTGTAACAGGTTAGATTTATATATAGCTTCCATATATATTTTTCCTTTATGAAATATGCGTAGAATCACTTTCTGAATCGATTAATTCAGAATTTTGCAGCGTTTGTCCGTCCCTACATGTATTTTTGTGAATAAAGTACAGGTAGCATTTATGATCCGATTTGGATGAAATTTGGTACATGTCACTTATTTGGCCCAAGGACGAACCCTATTGAAATTGGAGAAAATCGGTTCAGATTTAGATATAGCACCCATATATAGTTTCGTCCGATTTTAGGTAAATGGTGCACCAAACTCCCAATTCTGGTCCTATAGAGACACAATTTTGCATAGAGTACTGAATTAGGTCTAGATTGATACATGCCAATTTTTGATGAATTCGGTTCAGATTCATATATAGCTCCCACATATAGTTTCGTCCGATTTTTGGTAAATGGTGCACCAAACTCCCAATATTGGTACGATGGAAGTAAAATTTTGCAGAGAGTACTGAATTAGGTCCAGATTGGTGTATGCGATGTTTTGTTGAAATCGGTTCAGATTTAGATATAGCTCCCATATAGTTTCGTCCGATTTTATGTAAATGGTGCACCAAACTCCCAATATTGGTACGATTGAAGTAAAATTTTGCACAGAGTACTGAATTAGGTCCAGATTGATGTATGCGATGTTTTGTTGGAATCGTTTCAGATTTAGATATAGCTCCCATATATATTTTCGTCCGATTTTATGTAAATGGCGTACCGAGGAGACTATGTTCTACATATACGAAATTTTGCAGCGTGTATTGAATTTAGTCTGTTAAGTTTAAAATCGGTTAAGTTTAAAATCGGTTCAGATTTAAATATAGCTCACATATATATGCAAATGGAGGAGCCTATGTCTGTTCGCTTTACATGAAATATTGTATAGCGTAGTGGATAGAAGACCTTTTCAAGTTTAAAAATAGCTTCCATATATAATTTCATACGATTCCATCAAAATGATGTACCAAATAACTAAAGTTTGTCCGCTTAGGACGAATTAGTGCACAACGTACAAAATCGAACCTAGAATATTGTGTCGAGATAAATTTTGGATGGCGCATAGTGTTGCAGCATACCAAATGTTTGGTCGATGATTCACATTAAATTTTTCATAGATTTCAGATTGTATCTGTATGGCTTGTTTTAATTTAGTACAAATATCTAAATATCTAATTTCGTTAGATTCCATTTCAATGATCCTCCAAAGATGATAAGTCTATTCTATTCTATCTATCAATAGGATGACGTACATATGAGCATCTCTTGTATGTACCCAAATGGTGAAGGGTATCATATTGTCGGCCCCGTGCGACTTTTGAACTTTCCTTACTGGTTAAATATAACCTCTACATAAATGTCCCTCCTCTTTTCGTATTTTTTATGTTTTAGCAGTATTTTTCAAAATCAAATGTTTGAAATAGGTTCCTGCAAAATTTTCCGCTGATGTCGCTGTTGATGTTTTGACATAGAAAGATGTCGTCCCATTTTTGTTATTATTAAGATTTGAATCTAATTTTTAGTTATGTTTTATCTTATCAGATTCCTGGTGAATAACAAACGTATTTCTAGAGATTATTCAATATAGATTAATTTTTTCAAGATTACAAATGCCCTACTTATTGTTCCGTATCCCAGTTTTCCAACCTGAGTGTCTTTAATTTGGATTATTATTTTTTTCTGAACATGATGTACCAAATAACTTGATGGTCCACATATAAACATTTCGACCGATTTAATGTATTTCGAAGGAAAGGTACTAAAAGATGTTATTACACGTTTTTATTTTTTTCACCAATTAAGACGAACTTTTTTAAGCAATAGTTACTTTTTGGAGATCTAAAAAGAAGAAAGAGGCAGAAATTCACAAAAATGATATGTTTATTTAAACAATACGTTGATTGAAAGTTCGACTCGGTGTCCAGATGTAAGACGAACAATATAATAATTTTGGAAGTTAACCACCATAGTATGGGTATCTATGGTGGTGAAATCAGTAGAACTACCCTGCAGCTAAAATGAAATTTTAATTCATTCTGGTCTACAGCATTTTCATTTATTACTTAAAACCCAAAGGCAATTTCCGTTTTTTTTCTAATAATATTCCCTTATTATAATCAACTTCATAAAACACACCTCAAGAAACTTCATTTTTATTAGCTAGCCAAACCATCAACGATTCGAGTAATTTTAATAACGTCTTGTGATGTATTTGTCTCACACTAACAAAATTAACTTTTTTTAATAACGTTCTTCCTACGAAAAACGAACGAACAAAAAACGACAACAGCCTGTCAGTTAAACATAAACCTAATTAATAATTTAATTAAATGCATCTCAAACCAAAATTAAAGCAAAAACGAAGGCTGGCATTCTGGACAAGATGTTTGAGGTAGAGACAAGTTAAAAATGTAACCACTTCCATAATTAAAACAGGCAATTGTGCAGCTAAAGTCATCAGGGCTTCCGAACACACGGCCTGTGAGTTTCCTGCTTCATCAGTTTACTGGAAGCAAAGTTTCTTAAAAGCATTTGCTTTGGTATTGGAAATAACGGAGTGATGCTTTTTTCTTGAAAATTCTATTCTACCTTTTGGTAAGCAATATAAGTGGAATTCCCGCCTGGATGGACAAAATGACTCAGCTATAACGTAACGTTAGTAGATTTGGTTTCTATAAATTAACTTAGTTTGTTCGTAAAAATACAAAAAAAAAGAAGTAAAAAATCCAAATCCACTCAACAAGAATACTCTATCCTGCCGACGTCATGGGCTAGTAGCTTTGATGGTATTTACACGAAAATCACGAATCATGGTTTGGCGAATAATAAAAAAAAACGCTAAAGAAAATCGCTAAGAAATAAAAGCAACATCAGAAAAGTTAAAAAGCAGGAGCTAAGAAAATCACCAGCATCATTGTAAGATTTAATTAAAATCTCGTTTTTCCTGCTAACGGCTATAAAAACGATGATTAAACTTTTGCAGGAGAATAGGTAGGTTTTATTATTATTTTTTTGCTAATGGCTTTATTCCCCAATATCTGGGTACTTCATGTCTGCACTTAGCCAGTTTTCAAGTGTCATTGAACGAAGGAAACAACGTTACGTTTACGAGGAAGGTGCATTAAACGTTAGGCTAAAGCAAAAACATTAGACAAAATTGCCTCTACTCTTTATGCTCGATGTCGACGATAATAATTGCCATGACCACAGATATTAGCTTGCGAAAATATCGTAGAGATACTAATTGTTGTTGTTTAAATTTGTTATTAGCACATACCTGGATTTGTTGCATTTATATGAAATTCACATTGATTTTTAGATCCCTGAGCAAAATCATATGAATCGGAATCGGTAAAAAGTATGTCCACATCTAGTTCAAATCCACGATTTGGTATTCCTTGTTGTAGGGGTGCCGAAAATGGACTAGAATGAAAGGCGACTAACATCTCTGGTCCACTGAAATTAAAAAAAAAATAAAATAAAACAAATTTTATTATTTTTATGAATCATCTTTAAAATTATAAATATCTAAAAGCATTTTGCCGATCTGATAATTTTTTTGCCGGCGAGAAATTTTATTGTAGAACATTTTCTCCTCTAACTCGATTCCTTATGTGTCCTTTTCGTCATTTATTTACTGAAACTGGCTCTAATTATCACAAGGTGCAATTTTTCATTCTCGAAATATTCTATAAAAATGTTGCTCATAAGATTTTAGGTGGGGCTTCAAAGGCGAGAAATTGTTATTCTAACGTTTTAATGGCCTATTTTCAATTTTACCACTTTCATGTCACTAAAACTCAATATGTTTGTATTTTAAGTAATTCAGTATGTATTATTTTTTCGATTATTTTCTAAAAATATATATAGTTATGCCAAATACTTCGAACAAATAAAAAAAAAGAAAAAAACCGGGTTTCAAGTTTTTGAACGGGATATTCAGATAATAAAACCGGTCTGGTCCTCAAATACAGAGGGATAAGTAAATTGACTTTCGACTAATCGACTTTTTGTATTGAAAAGTCTAAAAGTCGAAGTCGACTTTTAATCTTTGAGAAAATCGCAAAGTCGACTTTTCAAGATCCACTTTCGATTTTCTTCAGAAGTACTTGGTTTATTATCACAGAACCGAAATTACCAAAAAATTACACATTCCAGAACTTTATTTCATCTATTGACAACAATTCTTATAAAATATTAAATTTTTAGTCAATTTTGCTTTAGTTGGTAAAAGTCGAAAATTGATTTTGAACAGGTTTGACAAAATCGAAAAGTCGACTTTTTAGTCAATGGCAAAAATCGAAAAGTCTAAAAATCGATTGTTTGGTCAGAGGCAAAAATCGAAAAGTCTAAAAGTCGACTTTTGCGATCAACTACGTTTTCCTAGGGCAGAGTTATACAAGGCTGTACCTAAAGGGAGACCAATATTGATTACCTCTCGTAGGGAATATCGCAAATAGGGGGTATCATTATAACCGTTTATTCTTTTATTTCCTAACCTAACCTTTTATTTTTTTATTTCGATATCTTACTTCACGCTGATCATTAAAAATGCGGAAAATTGGGAGTATCATTATATGGGGGATATGCCTAAATGTAGACGAATATAAATCGTCTGCACGTTCCTGTAGTATATAAATTGACTAGCTCAAGAAAATAAGTTAAATAGTTTAATATAAGCCAATAAGGAAAGTTCAGAAGCCAGACGGGGCCGAATATGTAATACCCATCACAAAGTTGGGTACATATACGAGATACTACCATGTATAATACCCTGTAGATAGAATTGACATATCATTTTTGGAGGACCATTGAAATGAAATTAGTCGAAATTAAATATGTGATCTAAATAGATATTTGAACCAATTTAAATCAATGAACAATTACAAGCCAATCGGCAAGCCAAGGATAAATATGTACCTATTTGAGCAATCGTAGCATACGTCAGTTGATATGGTGCAGCATAGTACACTGTCAAACATTGTATCTTGATTGGAGAAACTTTTATTATTTGTTTCAATATTTTGCATGAACTCAGAAGAAAATATCTAGAAGTTATATCTACATCTGAATAGGTTTTAAAAATTCTATACGCGTTATTCTAGGTACATTATTTTTCTTGTACACCTTTTTGATGAAAACCTGAACCGATTTCAATTCAATTACGCTGTGCAATATTTTATGTTAGTTATGTTACAGGACTCTATATATGGGAGCTATATCTAAACATGAACCGATTTTATCCAAATTCAATAGGGCTCGTCCTTGGATCAAATAAGTAGGCTGTGCCAATTTTCATCCCATTCGGATAATAAATGCGACTTGTTCTTTATTTTCAATTGAATATGGACAAACAGACGGACATGCAGGTTGATCCCAGACGGACGGACATTCTATGCATATTCTCGAAAGGAACCATGTGTCCAGCTCGTTTCCTTTTGCCTGTGTTATGGGTTATATTGGGACTTATCCCAAAAGTTGCGAATATTAATAATTTTTGATGGGGAGATTGACAAGTTGAAATTTTTTGCTTAAACACAATTTCAACAACAACAAATGTGCGGAATCCAGTATGAGAGCATATATGTCGTATATTCAGGTTAAGTCATAATTATACATAGCTTTTCGACTAATCTTTTAATATTCTATTAATTTATTTAGGAATGTCGATGTTATCCAGCATGATTTCTAATTCTGTCCACCTGCGTCCATAGTGATTTTACCACCTTAATTGTAATGTGGGCCTACATGCCTTGAGAATAAAAATTGAATCTTCACAATGTAACAATCCTAGAACAAACTATTTAAAACGACGTATGTGAATCTAGGTTGTAATAAAACCACATTTCGCATGTCCCAATAAACATGTTTACTCCTTATATACAGCCACCTAATATTGATGATATATGTTTATAATTATAAAATTGCTTCTTATTCAATAATACCTGCTGTGCAATGACAGGGCACACATCGATCCTTTACAATAATTTTCAGAGTTCACTTTTCGTATTAGTTAATTTATTCCACACCCAAGAATGCATTTACAATGACGTCAATTCGTAATACCTAATTTATTGAGTGCTATTTCATTTAGATTAACCTCGCAAACATTTCAACTGAATACCAAGTTGATTGGTATTCTCGGTATACCAAATGGAATGGTTGTAATACCGTAAGTGTTATTAATTTCCATTAAAATATGTATCTTTGTATGGACAGGTATGTATGGGATTGAGTGTTCATATAACACATACGCTCCAGCGAACACGAAGGCCACTATTTCCGCTAAACTAGCATTCAATACTCCATCCACATACAACAGCTAAAATGGCTATATATTTGTATGTGTATATTTAGTGAGTGTCCTTCGCTTGTATCATTAAATACATAAACGTGAACATGAAGTGATTTGCCACCTGATTTTCCCAAACATGCCACTAATGAATATTTAATAGATTTCAACCGAATTGCCAGTTATGTTGCACATTTACACATCGCACAAAAATTGTTGTAAAAGAAAGAAAGAAATCGATGTGGAACTATCGTATGCATGTATGTAAGTGGATGTGTTTATAAATTTGCTGTTTATTTCCTTTTTTTTATTGCTGCCAGTCCATAACCATATATTTTGAATCCACTAAAAATTTTCTATTCAGTTACCTGCTCCCATAGATGTACTACTAGTGGTGCTGGTCGTAGTAGTAGTGGTACTCGGTGAAATAACACTTTTGGGTTTAATTAAGAGTGTGGTTTTGACGTTGACACCACATGCTATTGGTAGTCACGGTATGGCATTGCAACTGGTAAAATCCTTTACAATTGGCTTTTTACGCCAGTGGGAGGTAAAGCAAAACAGGAACAGAAAAGAACATTGGAAATACACTGAAGCTGAGTGCAGCCAACTGTAGCTATACGACCATGGTACACCACTACCACCACCACCTTTTGCAAAGGCATTTATTTATCGTAAGGTACTTGTATACGTTTACCTAACGGTCTTTGAATTCTTAAGTGGATTTTATAGCATCGACACCAATAACAAACACACTGTGAATGTTATAGTGGTTGTACAGTTGTGGGCAAAATGTGATACATACAATTTATTTAACAAAAAGATTCGCTAGGTAAGCCGATTTTTTTGTTTTATATCTATAACGAATTCAATTCGGATATTATTTGGAACATATTACAAATCAGATATAATGATTATAGGGATCCACAAATACCAAATGTCATGCCTTTTATAAGCAGAAATGTTTTCTTATATAATGATATCATAAATTATACCGGGTGATATAGTTATAGATGTCTGGAAACCTCTAAATATAAATTATACTAAAAATAAAATATTATTTTTGAACTATATCGAAATTCTTTATTTTTAAAGAATGTCGAATGTATAATTCTTCGCAATTTTATGCTATTATAACATATCACAAATGTTAGTATTGAATACAAATTTTAAAACCACAATGTAAGCTTTTAAATCGCGTCAATGCACTCTATCAATGAGTATAGGGAAGTTTCCACATGACCTGTAAATACATGTCTCTTTGTCGATTTCCTAGTTCTGGGGAGTTTCTTTACATCTACCTTTATTCTACTGGAGCGTAACTTGTTATATACAGCCACGGGAAACTTAGAAGTGTGTGCTTAAGTATTTACAGATTATATGGAGAATCTGTAAATACTCTAGGTAGCCATGCTTATATCGCCGAATGTCATAAAATGTTAAAAAACCAATAAGGAAAGTAGTAAATTCGAACGGGCCGACTATATGATACCCTTCACCACTTTGGGTATATTCAACAGATGAATCTTAACAGACGTCGCATTTTTGAAGGATCAGTAAAATGAAATTGGACCCATAAATATATCTGCAACCTATACTACATTTTTCATTTGGTCAGATATAGAGTTGCTTGTTGCAATGGGACGAAATTATGTAAATCCATTTAAAGCATATATCAGTAGGATACCCGTTGATTATTTAGATACATATCTGATAAACAGGAGGAGTTTGGTGCACCATTTACTTCAAATCGGACGAAAATATTTATAAAATCTATTATCGAAATCCAAGCCCATTTCATCGAAACTTGTCACAGAATGTCGCCCACATTTTGAGTTCTTGGTGCATCATTTAGTTAAAATCGGGAGAAAATATGGTAGCTCTATCCAAACTTGAACCGATTACTAAAAATCTGATGAAAATATATATAAGAACTATATCTAAATTTGAACTAATTTCAACAAAACTTGCCACACGTTATCTCATAATAACTTCTATAAGTTGTGCAAAATGGTGTGCCAATCGGACGCACCTGGGAATTAGGTGCAGCATTTATGTCTAACTTATAGCTAATACTAAGTTCATTACGAAAGATATATAGGGACTCTGGTGCACCATTTACCTAAAATCGGACGAAAATATATATTGGAGCTATATCTAAATT